GCTAGTGCGATTACGAGTTCGCCAGCATACAATTTAACAACGGACACCACCATGGTGCCAGCGTCTGTGAAGCAATTGTATGATCTTGTGCGCACACAGTACTCCGATTTTGCCTTTGTGTATGCGTTAAGTGCACAGCTGTGCCAAGATCGTGTGCCAATGGATTGTTTCGTTAATTTGAAAATGGGTCTACTGCTTAGCTTAGCTTCCATCAGCGTAGGTATTCCGGCTGCTTCGCTACTTCCTTTCGCATCTAATTTAAGTTTTACAGTCTAATCCCGATCGGCCACCCGTACCTATAATGGCATTTGGCAGCGACACCTATATGGCTAACTTTTTACTTACTAATATAGGGCAGCTGGCGGCGCGCTTTGTTGGACCATCAGACGACGTCAAACCGCCATCCATTACTAACTATCGCAACTGCAATTGGATTGTAGCCGACCCAATACTGCTAGCGAAAGACGGTGTTTATTTTGTTGGCGATTGGTCGCGCTTGAAGCTGACGCGGGCCGATCAACTTTTCCGCATCATCGAATGTTCACGAGTGCCCCTTGAGCGTTCAACACTAACATGTCCATTAGAGTGCGCAATTTGGACACACTGGCGGTCACATAAGGGCGATGCTAGAGATCAGCAAACTTTTAATAAAGTGGTAAAGTGAGTAGAGCGACGCAAAAATGAATGTTACATTTTACTTTCAAACTGTGTTGTGAATTTTTCTTACAGAATTTTCGGCATTCCTATTTGTATGGACGACGACGATAAGCACGAGGTACTCGTCGATTACATTTTGGAGCAGTCGTCAGTCAACGTCTTTGAGTCGACCGTTGATCACTTGTCAATTAGCAGTGATGATATGCGTTGTTTTCTAAGGACGATTTCTAAACGTACCGTTGATTTGACACCGGAAGCCTCGCTATTGTTGCAAAAATACTTTGTAACGGCGCGCTTCGCTCGGCCGGGTAAAAAATTACACTAATAAAATTACGATTAAAATGCTAACCTCACAAACATACATTCATCATATTCATCCCCAGAATGCCTAACCAAACAAGCGTATGTGGTATTGAAACAATTTGCGGAGTCATTTGCAAAACTTTGCTTCCGCCATGAAGTGTTGCCTTGCGATGTCGTTGCAGCTGTTTTCATGTGCGAACGCTTCATACGCAGCATTTTTGGTGTGACCGAAAATTCACCGCCTGCATTTGAATCACATAATTTTGTGGGCACTGTGGACGAGCACATGGTAAAATTTCAAGATTGGCTTAATGCTTATATAAAAAAATATGAAGATAAATAATTGCCTGGCATTATCAGAAATCGAGTACTTAAAAGGCCAAAAAAAAAAAATTCAGTTAATAATATTTTCTCAAAAAATTACATTTTATTTTAGAATCATATTTTAATAACGTAAAGTTTACAAATAGATTATATGTATGCAGGTATACATAAGTATATATGTATATATGTATCAATAAATACATTTAAGTATATGTAGTTTAAAAACTTTTGGCTCAACCAAGTGTACGACAAAATAATTGCGTTATTGCAAAAACATTAATACACATGAGTTTCCAACGTACATATACGTTTTTGTTCAGTTATGTAAAAAAAAATTGTCCAAATAAAAAATTGTGAAAAAAGCGAAGAAAATTTCATTGCAAATCATCGAAAAGGCACACATGTGTAGAAACATATTCATATTTAGTTAGTTAAATCGATTGCTCATTAGATATAAATATTTATTACGTGGGCCTGATGAATGTCTGGTATAATTTTCAATGTCCTTTAGAAAAATTGAGCAATAGTTACACTTCCTTAACGCTTAAGAATAATAAGTTAAACCTCATTTAAAAATATATACATAAGTCAGTATATGTATGTGAGCAACAGTTCACTCTTCAGCAATTTCGAATATAATTCACTTTGGTCCTAAACGGGAATTTCTTATATTAAATGTATTAATTTTTACTAGCCTAAAAGTGCTATTTTACAATAATTCAAGTGCTTAAAATGTACTAAAGTAACTCTTAACTAGTAGTCTAAATTTCCTTGAGCTCCGGTTATAATTGCATCGATCCATATTCTAGCTGCAGCGTCCGATGCCGCTTGTAGATGGTAGCTGCGCTTTTTCGTCTTGACAATGAATGTGCAATGAGGGCGTCCACTCTTCGAGGCATTTAAATGATCCAAATACACTTCGTCGATTGTCTAAAAAAAAAAATGGGAAAAAGTTACTTTAATGTTCAAAAGGATATGGCATCATTTCAAAAAACATCAGTCAAAATGTCAACTGTCCCAAATTGAAATTTGTTCAATAAGCTTTCGCACAAAATATTCGCTATTAGATTTATTACTACAGCAGTTTTCACCCTAATCAACTGCCAGTTAGTTATACTTTGCAAATCCGAGGTACCTTAAAACGCTGCTTTGTTCAAACACGCTCAAATATGTCCAGCAACCAAATGGATGTGGACGACACCGATGTCGAGGAATTTCATGACATCGAAGAATTCTCCGATGAAATACCGACTTGCAGCACTACGCATCCACAAACGAAGCGCTTCGTCGTGAAAAAGTGGCAGGCGCAGGCGCTTTGGTCGTGGGACGTAGCCGTCGATAATTGCGCAATTTGCCGCAACCAAATCATGGATCTCTGCATTGAGTGCCAGGCGAATCCGCTTTGTTCCGGCACTAAGGAGGAATGCACGGTGGCATGGGGCGCATGCAATCACGCTTTTCACTTCCACTGTATTTCGCGTTGGCTCAAAACCCGCCAGGTATGTCCGTTAGACAACAAGGAATGGGATTATCAGAAATATGGCCGTTAGCCGGCAAGCATCTATTCTGGATTTGCGCGCCACTAGGCTATACGTATGTATGTAGATACATATGTATGTTCATTTTTAATTCATCTCACCAAATGTTTATTTTGTAAGCACATTCATATATTTTGCGAAAATACCAAATTCTAAAAAAAAAAACTAAACAAAGTTTTTGGTTCATTCAAAACTCACCGAGAAATAGGCGCCACCTCTGGGCTTCCGTTCCGACTTGTCCGCATAGTAGATGAACGCGCTGCGCTGTCGATCAAGTACGAACCACCGTCGCGCCCAGCCATGGAAAGTAGCACCCAATTTATGCAAATAGCTGAAAAATATTTACATTTCATACAAAATAAGACAATTCGTATAAACAAATCATGCCGAATGCAAATGCGTTCGGGATCGGATCACTCACCCTCGGCAGCTAAAAGCATCGACAAAGACGTGCGGGCATAGTGTAATCTGATGTCCAGCTGACTCGATATGATGGCGGAGGTTTAGATCGGGTGAAAAGATTGGCAGGTAGCGTGTCAGCGGACGCTGGTGTTTGGGCAGTGCACGCTTCCGCTCGCCGCCTTGCGCGCTAACGCTGCCGCTGCCGGTGGCACTGACGCCTGACGTTGTCTCGTTCGAATTGACGCTCGAACGCTTGTTGGCTGCCTCATCGCCGCTAGTCACAGGCTCAGTCGAGTAGCTATTGTTGCCCGCAGATGCTGCAGCATTCGGCGACGCGGTGGACAGCTCATAATTTGACTTGCAGGTGCCTTTGTGATCGCTGTCTAATAGATCGCAGCTTAGCTCAGAGTTGGCTTCAGAAAGCGGGCGCGGACTGGATCGTGAATGGCGTATTTGTGTTTCCACGAATTCAGGCTGTGAGTGCCGTTGCTGAAATTTGAATGAAAAACAAACAAAAACAAATTGTTTATTTGTATGTCCGAGTTCACTTAACTAAAAGGTACTTTATATAGAATGCTTTATTTAAAAATGAAAAAAAAACAAACTAATGTAGCTATTATTAGTAACCACCGAACTCGAGTACATTGTGGAGATAATGAATTCAGTATGTAAACATTTGAGAAAATCGCTAATGTGGTGACCTACAGGTACGCAGCGATGTGCCGGTTTGCTCTTCACATACTTTTAGTCAAGCTATTAATATAAAATGTACATCGCCGCTTGATAATTTTAATCGCCGCTATTTTTTACTTTGGCGAGCAGCCAGCAAAAATACTTAAATGGTGTCAAGATGCCAACAACTGCACAAAAAAATTGACATTTTTTTAATGTGTAAGCACATATTAGTTGCTTTCCAGATGCTTCACGATTTGCAGGTTTTTACAGGAAGTCGTTCCAGGTGACCACCTCCCATAAGGTTTATTAATGGGGAAAACAGCTTTTCCTGCAAATCGTGAATTTCGTGAATATCGTGAAGCATCTGGAACGCAACTATTGTTACCATCAGTGCAAAAAGGTCTGCTTCTCGGAAAAATTTGGAACAAGTCCCTCTCAAGCTGGTCTATCCAACGCTGAGGGAGCCACACCACCCTCTACCACTACCAACGGATGCCACATTGAAAACTTTCAGAGTTGAAGCATTTCCATCCATTCCTGCGAAGTGGTCTTCCAGGCGTAGCCTTTGCCTTTGTCAAGCTCATGGAGCTCAACGTCTCAGATACTCGCCGCCACAAATTCGTCGAGCAAAGTAGCACTAATTCACTAGATCTGTTCTTGGTTGAATTTCTATACTCTTGAATGTTTTTTTGATAGCAGGATATATTTTATTTTATCCCCGTTTACGACCAGACCCTTATGTGTTGCCTCTCTGTCTGGCGCTGTTGTTGAGAACGAGGATGTCAATATCATCGTTATACGTGAGCGGTAGGGTTCTGCAGCTCTTATTACGCAGTAGGGAGGCAAAAATATGACAGCTAAACGACCAAAAACATAAACTTAATTTTGGCTTCTAGATTACGATGCCGTTTTCATAAAATCCGTATTACGTCAAGATATTAAAGATGGAAGCCTTAAAGCATAAACAGACGGCAGCGTTGATCCGGATCAACTCGGGAGCTAACTGCAGTTGATCCGGATTAAGTCCGAGTTAAGTCCGAATGGGTTTTTAATACCTTTCTTGTGCTGTCAAAGCTCTTGGTCAAAGTAACTATGTAATGTTTTCCAATAGGCGCTGGTCCATACCGCGTCATATTTGACATAAGTTGGCAAGTCATGATAACCAAACAACATAAACCGAAACCCTACGCGGGCGATTGCTGTTATATTAATTGACAAAAAAACATCGGAAAATTTGCGAAAACTTTTTTTCATTATATCAATGTCTTCGGAAACTCCTAAAGATCAAAGAAACTAAGAAGCTTGTCAAATAAATTAAACAACTTTTGTATCGTTTGTGGTAATTCCATATGCTATACCGGTACTTTGACTTTTACGAACAACAACTTGCAACAGAAAACGACGAGGTAGGTAGGTGAAAGATTTCACCAATCCATTATGAGGATCTATTCACTGGAAAACGATTGAATTCAATGTTGGCGAACATTTGCTGGTCGATCGCAGCAGGCAAAGGGTATAAAAAAAACCATTCGTGCCACAATTGATTTGTAAGCAAGAAACAACCGACTTCAACCCTCAAATAAAAATTTAAAAGTTCCGTTAATTTCTTCATGAACCAATGATCGGATCTAAACCAACTCTGAGGTATCACCTTTCCTTTAAAAAAATAATTATAGCAATCGTTTAACGTGGTCCAAAGTTACGCGATAACATATATAAAAAAATATATTCTAAAATTATTAACAGAAAAGCTAAAATTTAAGCATATTTTCAAGTTCCGCTATCTTGAAAACTGGAGCCAATCTGGCAAAAACTGGGGACGCCATTGAATTTAAAAGATCGCAGTTAAGGAAGATCAGCTATCAAAACCTATGCTCAGAGAAAAGTTCAAAACCGGAGCGCACTAAAACTTCCCTCCTAAATATCTCAAAATTTTGCCTTGATACGGATTTTCTAAAACCGGCATCGTAATCTAGAGGCCAAAATTAAGTTTACGTGTTTGGTTGTTTAACCGTGATATTTCAAAACTTTAAAATTTACCTACAGTGTTATCGTCTTCGAAATAAGGGTAAACAATTCAATTCAACAATAAGGAATCACCTTGTCTGAAACCTCTTCTGATATAAAACTGCTTTGAGCAGAGTCACGCTTATGAATTGGGTAGAGTAGACTTAAATTCCAATGGGCAGGCGGTTCGCTCGATCGCTTCGGTATACTTCCAAATCATGATGATTTAGGTTCCCGAACACAGTGACTATTGCAGAAAACATCATGGATGATGAATTGGCTAGACAGGGCACTTTTGACGTAATCTCCCCTCACAGGGTATACCCTCCCTCCTAGCTCCTGTGACAACCTGTGAACTACTCAACAGATGCGATTTTTGTCGGCTATTGTTTCGACGTGTCGGACTAGAGGGAGAGAGGCGTTAGTTGAGTTGGTGTCTTGGGGTGAATCTCCACATGCTGGAAACTCATTAGGTATATCGGGGTCGAGTCTGAATAAGTAGGAGTTGAGAGGTCTACAATATACAGACCGTAATTGGGCCAGAGTTGCGCTCATCCATTGGTTGTTGTACGAAGCGTTTCAGATGCCTTCTAATATGCCTAGGTGGAGGTTCCGCTTCGAGCAAGTGTCTGTCCGGCTGCTTTCGGCTATTGCATCCTACTAGAAACTGTTTGCTGAGCATTATGTTGTGCTCCCTTTGGGACTCACTGTGAATTTGATATTCAGGCAACATCAGAGGGCATCCCGTGGCTGCCCAGAGTTCTGTATTGAGGCGTGTCTGTAGCTTCGTCCACTGCTTTCTACTTTTCCCTGGCGACCAGACAGCCGCTGCAGGGTAAGTTTGGTCGGTGGCGGATCGTAGACGGTCAAAAGAGCTTATTAAACTGGCATAGCAAAGCGACAGGAGTCCAGATCAGACACATTCCTATTTGAAACGGTCTTAATATTGTTTCGGACCCCTTTTGCCCAGCTTTTAAGAGGATAACGAGGTGGAATCTTCACAAAATTTTCTTCACCGTTGCCCTACTGCGCAAGACTAACGCGAGGCTGCCACATAACCTAACCTTATCTACATATTCAAAAAGGTGACACTTCAATTGGCGCACCCGGTTTATAATTTTGAATATTTGTGTCTTAAATTTTAGCAAGACACAATATCTCAAAGAAAGTTAAATGAACATTAAATAAAAAAAAAACTTAAAAAATATATTTTTTCGGGCCTTTTGGATAGATGATTACGAAATTTACAAAAAACCACGAATCTGAAAATTGCTTGTTTAGATTCTGAAATTCTGATTGTTTAGGCCGACATTTTATTCAGTATCGGCTGGTGAAGCCAGAGAGAAGTGGAATTTTTGTAAATATATACATATTTGCTGCATTGTTATATGTATGTATATATATAGTTATACCAGCTTAATTATATAAGGGTAAAATCTACTTGTATAGCGACTGCCACTTTGTCTACTAAAATTCAGAATTCGTTAATTAATGATTTCAACAAAACAACTACACTCATTCACTTCTTACACATTTTTTTTTTTCACACTCACTTGATAATAGCACTCAGTTTTATAGCGTTTATTTGAATCTGCATGTCGATGCTTCACGTAATTCATCCACACAGACATACTGGATATCGTTTTGCATATACCGCAACGTTTAATACCCTTTTAGACAACCTTGCAACCTTTTTAATATTTTTTTTTTTTTTGCTTGTATATGAAAGCCCTTCTACGCGATGCCACTAATCGTTCGTGCTTTATGAATACTAATTGAATACAATCAGTTTTTCGCCGTGTGTATATACGATTCGCGTTGAGAACTTTGGAATGACTGAAATTCTGATTTTTGTGCGATCATTTAGCCATTTGAAATGAGAATAATTTTCCCAGCGCACATTCAAGAATATTTTAAATGAGTCGTACAAAAATATTTTACGAAAACAAAACAATGTCAGGGGGCGCTGTCCAGAGTTTGGTGTACTCATCTGGACATCGCTCTTGGGGGGTACTCACATACGTTTCAGATAAATTGGCATATTCTTTCAAATTATTCTCTGATGAATAACATCAAGTGAATTATTGGAGAGATAGAAATGGCGCGCATTTTCGATAATTTATATACATTTTTTACATACATACATACATATGTACGAATGTATGTTGCGTGCGTATTTGGCCAATTTCCCATTTTGTTGAAGTATTTTCATAATTTTCGCACTCAAGACTCATGACTAACGCGTAAAGCACAGTAAAGTAGGTGGTTGCATTAGGACAGATCGTCAAAGAATTTTAAAAGATATGAAAATTTAAAATTTTGGAATAATAAACATATATTCAAAGAGAAATCCTTAGGACCCTTATTTATTTCGCACAGAAATATATGGAAAGTTTTATGAAAACAATTGAAATCAATTGGGGAGCGGTAAACTAATTATTGATTGACACAGGAGAGTATGTGGGAATTAAGAATATCTATATATATATAATACGCGAAGGCATTTTTTGTTCAGGATTTGCACCGCTCGCTCGATTTTCAAAAATGGACATCCCATTGCAGATGTGCAAACTGGTTTTATATTTTCGAAAAGAGTTGCCACCTTCTAAAAAATTTCATTAAAATTATTTAATAATAAATGCCATCAGATCGGAACCGTTCGTTCGATTTTCAAAATCGAGATATCAACTTAAAGGGATTGACCTGCTGATGAGCAAGGTTTTATTTTTTGAAAAGGAAATGCCACCTGTTAAAAATTTAATTCAAATGATTTAATAAGTTAAATCAATTATTACAATATGGGTATC